ATTAGTAAATGATAAAAATTAGTTTTTGTTGTGAAAAAACAATAGACCAAAAAAATATTTTTAAAAAAAAAATCATGTGTACTTTTTATCGAACAGAATTATATATATATATATATATATATATATATATATATATATATATATATATATATTACACAAATATATTTTGAAATATTGAAATACTAAAGATTTAAATTCATTCAATAAAATCGCCATTGGCTTCAACCACAGCCTTCAGACTACTTCGGAATCTTGTGCAACACTTCTGGACAGACTCCTTGTTTAAGTTTAATTTGGAATTTAGTCCACCGGAGTAGAATGTTCTAGTTCCACATGCCATGTCTTTTGGGGATATCTCAGTTTCAATTAATTCCCTTCAGTAGCTCAAGATATTGGTCAAAATCTGCTGTCGCCAGTAATTGAATCTTCAATGCTTTAACAATGATTTTATCCACTGGGCCAAAAAAAGAAACATTTCACTATTATCTATCTATCTATCTATCAATCTATCCATCTATATATCTATCTATCTATCTATCTATTTTAAACATTTAAATATTTATACATATTTTTTATAGATAAAAAATATTTAAGTAAATATTCTATTTATAATAAACAGTATTAAACAAACAAAATAACAATGTCCGAAAAATATTCATAGAAAATATTCGTCTTCCGAATGTTTTAAAATAATTATCGGACTTTGTCCATTTCATAATGTATGCTATCTATCTATCTATCTATCTATCTATCTATCTATCTATCTGTTATGGAAACTTACCCATAATATCATAATGGACTATTCCATACGTAATAAATACTGCGCCTCAAGCAGGGAGTTCAGCCTGAAGTCGGGCGACCGGCTGACCGGCTGATCGGTTGAACTCTCTTCCTTCGGGCGGGGAGGAACGAGGCAACGCCGAAGGGCGGAGTCTCTTTCGAGGAGGTAAACAGATCCTGAACTCGTTTATACGGGTTCAAAGAGCATATTTTTGGCCGAGCCCACGGTCTCGGAGATCTCATGGGCTCGGAGATCCCACGGGCTCGGAGATCCCACGTTAAATTGGCCTTGTACCACATGATGCACTCGTGGGGGGTGACTAAATATTGTTCAGTCTGAAGACTGTAGTGAGGTCCGTCAGAAGTCCGTCAGGTGTCTGTCAGCCCAGTCAGTCAGTCAGTCAGTCAGAGCGAGCGAGTCAGTCGAGACAGAGGCAGTCCGAAAAAGAGTCGCTTTCAGACAATTACTACTAAACCTGATTGTTCGTACTAACATTTTCTACTTCTCTGTATATATTCCTGTTTGTAATATATCTGTTTTATTCCATATACGTGTTCGAGTTCTTCTTTATTGGTTCTACCTTGGACTATCACCGTGGTACGAGGAACCGGACCATAAAACTATCTATCTATCTATCTATCTATCTATCTATCTATCTATCTATAAAAGAGGCACAAAAACTTAGGGCTGAATTCGTTTTTTACCTGTTGTTCTTCCTCTCTCTCTCTCTCTCTCTTGCCCCTCTTTTTCTCGTCATATTTATATATATCTACCATTGTGCGTGTATATCTATGTATGTTTGTATATATATATATATATATATATATATATATATGTGTGTGTGTGTGTGTGTGTGTGTGTGTGTGTGTGTGTGTGTGTGTGTGTGTGATTGCGCGTATGTGCGTGTGTTCGTCAATGTTTTTATCTGGCAAAGCAATGTGTATCTCTTGACCCAATAAATCCCTGTTTCATCCTCTGCCTTAAAAATGCATAAAAATCAACAAAGGTTCAAACAAGTGTAAACAAAACGTAGAATTCAATTTCTTGTTTGTTAACAACAACAAAAAAAGACCAAATAGACAATTGTTTTAAAAAAAAAAAGACTTTATTCAATGATCTCAACAATTTACGAATTTGTATTTCAACTAAAATTTGAACGTTCTACCATTAGTAGATTTCAAATATTTATTTCCTTTTTTAGACAAGTGTTTATCTTTTAACCCTTGTCTTCTACTTTTACGTCTGCGACAATTCAAATGGTAACATTTCTTTGTAGAATGTTTACTTTTATTTCAAGATTCAATGTCCTCGATATAGTAAATAAAATTCATATAAGGAGACTAACGTTACCATGAGAATCGATAAATAAGTTTGCATCAGCCCATCCCAAATCTTTGTTTGCTGGATGATTGGAAAGGTCATCGTTCACGAAGCATGGGAAGATGTTTCCCTTCAAAACAGATATATTTTTTAAATCCATACAACAGAGAATAAAATGAATGTACCATGCGTCATATTATGACACACATCATCAGACAAAAGAAAAGACATTTAGAAGACAAAATAGATTCGCTTAACGCCTGGTTCACACACCTCAATGGTCAGCGAAAGAGGTGTAGGGGTTTATCCCTTGTTTTCTGTTTAGAATTCGGTTTCCTGTTCTTTTTAAAGTTCACTTCAACTCTATACATCCAACGTCTTCGCGTAAAATCTCTAAATTTAATTAGTATGTATTTCTTATTTTTTCCTCAATAAGAGTTGCTAGGTTC